GCAAAGATGGAAGCAGTGAACTGTTCTAACAGCTCTCACTATGCCCAAACATGACTAATCTTTAATCTCTCTTTGCAGAGATTGTGCTATTTAAGTTAGACTCTTTACCTTTTGCCAAGAATTGGGCACTGTGCAACCATTATACTCGCTGAACAATAGCTGTTTATCCTGGGTAACACTTCAAGACCTGGCCAAGCTGACAGACCCAAAGCACTCAGCCAAGTCTAAAGTAGAACATTCAATGTAACTTTGAATCTTATTTTTTTGCTGTCTTATTTCCCTCAAAAACTCAGATTTATGACATCCCATTGTTAAGCGACACTTAGGAATCACTTGTCAAGGGACAGTAACATCATCACGTCATCATGTGATCTGTTTATTATGTTTCAGTATAGAACATGTGTTTCTACTGAATCAGGTAAACAGAATCAAACCTAGCCAAAGTATCTAGGAGGAAGCCACCACCAGTTTCCCCTTTAATGGATCTATGATCTCTAAACTAATCTTTTCCCTTCAGAAGTCACCTTTTCTCAATCTCTCACTTCTGACCAGCATAACTAGGAAACAATGAAATAAACTTGTTCACTGTGGCTCAAGTTATCCTTCCCTGGAATACCTACATTTTAATAAACACCAAGAATTGCTCTTATTGTAGATTTCAAACATCAGCCAAGTAAGAGATTAGTGGATCTCTTACTTCATATATCCATTTAATTATCCAACAGATATAACCAGGTTCCTAAAAGGGCTATTAAAATGAAAGATCAAGTTTAAATTTTGTAACAAGAAGTTGTTTAATCACCATCTACATATTGTATTTTACTATATCTCATACAGCTAATAATAAATGCTTATGGTATATACTTTTCTCTGTTTGATTTTTTAATTACTCTTTATTTAATTAGGAAAAAGCAGCCTCTAGGGACATATTAATATCAAAAAATAAGTATGCACCACTGAGCTGACTCCTTCCAGCTAAGAGGCAAAAGCCTAGAACCAGATACAAGCTTGGGAAGGAGGGGGGAGGGTGAGGGAGGGGAGAGGGAGGAGGGAGGGGTGTAGTAAATAGGAGCTAAAGAAACAAATGGGATTGAAAGTCTGAAACCCACCTGTCATTTAGATGACACTGTAATTACAACATTTTCAAATCAAATCTCTACGGTCCACCTAGAGACAACAATGTGCCAAAAAAATAAATGCTTCATAATCTAAAGTGTATTTTCCACATAGTTTAAAATTAGTTTCATACAGAAATATTAAATTTCTGTTAATTTGATGAAGTCAGCTTCCAACAAAGAAAACATCTTTTTTTTTAATTTAAAAGTTTGATTAAATGGGAATCTGAGAGTCAGATTTTGAGAATTTACCTATTCTATTTGTATAATTTACCAAAGTGGGTTTCTTCTAAAACAAATCACTGTTTGGAAGCTAAGAATATTATTAGCCATAGACCTTTAAAAATTTTATCTAATTAGCAAATATTTATATAAATATTTATATTTATATAGTTATATTTATATGAAGAATCATTACTGTAGCTGGTTTTTCTTATTATAGATTATTTTAATCTTTCTGAACACTTATTATATAAAGATTTTTTTAGCAATCACTTTGAAAACCAAGCATCAAAATAATAAGTAATTAAATTCAGGTTTCTTTTTGAAATGCAAAATTGGGGCTGAGGATCTAGCTCTCAGGGTGAAAAGTGAGTGCTTAGGACCTGGGATTGATTCTCAGTGTTAGATTAGGTGGCTAGGACTTGGGTTTGATTCCCAGTACCACAAGAAAACAAAACAAAAGGCAAAATTTCAGTTGTAGGTAAAATAAAATGTTTTCTAAAATTTTAAATCATATTTTATGAGGTAAAACAGTAATAATTGTGTCCACAAATGTATCTAGTTATTTATTCCCACTTCCTAAGAAGTAGATACAAATTAAATAACAGTGGTGGTCTAAAATTATCATGCAAATTCCTAATCCATATGACCAAAAATAAAGTACTACCATTCACAATGGTCACTACCTATGTACTAATGTTAATTCATGGATAATGTATCCCATCAATTTTGTGGCTAAAAAAGCAATTCACAGTATCTAGAGACCTCCAATAGATGAATTCTGCATGTAGAAGAGATCTTAAAAGTCAGAGGGTGCTTGTTTACTTTTTGAGATTAGAAACCCCAGCCAAAAAGCTGAAGAAATACATACACAAGTGCATGCTTGCATCATAAACACACACAGTTTCACACAGACACAGGAGGCCTTCAGAAATAACTAACCCGAGAACTCCAACCTTGTCCAGTCTAATCATCTTACATGACAGTAAGAGATGTAAAATTAGTTCCCTAAATTTCAAGTATACTGTATCAGTCTTTAAAAGAGAAGGCATGAATCCTACTTGTCAGCTCAGGTTTCATTATAGAAGAATATGCTGAATCTGATCAGTCACCAAGAATGAGAAACAAGTCAAAAGGGATTAAAAATGTAAATTAAAAGCCCATTAATTTCATTAAATTCCCATCTTTCAACAGTGTGTAATTTGCATTTTAACAGAGGTTTTCAAACTAAGCTACCACAGAACATAACTGTTACATATTCTAAGCTGAGAGCTTTGCTAATAAAACTATAGTCAAGAAAAGAATAAGCAAAGGGATATAAATTCCTTAATATTAAATTTCTTTCCATTGTTTCTTAATGTATAAAAAGGCAAGTGATTTTTTAAAATGATTTTATATCAATTTCTCATAGTTTGTCAATAAATATACTACTGGACTTTTAAAAATAAATACAATACTACTAACTTTTTCAAATAATAAGTAACTCTTTTTTTATATGTGGATAAGTCATTATTAAATTTGGAGACTACAAATTTCAAACCACAGTTTAATAAAGGGAGATTTTTTTAAAGAAACATAATGGAAACAGTCACTGAATCATATTCTGAAAAATACTTAAAGTCAGGGAGAGTACTTCATAATAAATTAAGAAAAAATACAAACTATACATGCATTATTGTCCATACTTCAGAAAAAATATCATAGTACACATTTTTAAAAAGACCCAGAAGAATTACAGAAAACATGCATAAATGATATCATTTATAGAAAAAAAAAAGTTTGACCATACTAAGGGAGGAATTACCAATCGCAAATCTCAAAAGGAATTTAGAACAGAAATTGAGTTTTCACCATGTCATGATAAAATTATGACTGAACTTTAACTGAAAAATAGAAAAGCATTTCCCTTTTTTTAAAAATTAACTATTCACCTTTAAATATTCTCCATCTTGCCCACCTAAGAACATACATCTAAAAACCATGCATAGACATGTAGTGCTCAGACTTCACATCATTATGACTATGTCTTGCTCATATTTTGAGATTCAATCCAAAACATTTCATTTAAAATCTATAATTTACCTCTTCTAGACTCAAAACTGTCCATATAATTTTATCTGAGCCACATATCATTTTGTTTGTATTTATTTACCAATTTCCATTGGCTGTCCTTTACTTTCTATTTGATCTACTTTACATTTGATCAAACCTTTGAGCATTTATTGTATACATTTTAAGTATCTGGTTTGTTCTATTATTAAATATAAGAGAAACAATGAACAATGTGGGGGAAATTAAATGAATGAACAGATATAACCACTAATATTTATGTGAAATTTATTTTTAGTTAAACAAATAAGCATATATCTCTACTCTGACATTAACCACTGGTGCTTTACATCTAATTCTGAATTAATGGACACATAAAATTCATACAGCCCAATATGGTCAAATGAATGTATTTCTTCTGATAATGTAGAACTACCTAATTCAGACTCAAGTAAATAACAGGAAAGAGAAGGGGAGAGGAGGGGAAGGAAGGGAAGGAGAAAAGAGGAAAGAAAGAATAGAGTAAAATGGAATAGAATAGAATAGAACAGAATGGAATAGAAAAGAATAGAAAGAATAGCAGAGCAGTTGTGGACTATTAACATAATACTATTACTAAAAAATTATTTGTGTATACTTCCCCATCAGAATAAAAAAATCCATGAATACAGTGTTTTCAGTCTGTTTGACTCTCTCTGACAATCTCTGGGCTTAGCACATGGCTAATTCTTAGTAATTTTACTGAAAATCCCAATTAACTGTTAAAAATCTTGTGGCTCACAATCTAGTTCTAGATATGCACAAGCTTTCATCAAATTATTATTTTTCCTAGTTATCTACAACCCTTGTCATTAAAAAATATTTTCAACTTTGCAAATATTCCAAAGTTGTGATTAACTCTCTGTTTTCATGTTTAATAATACCGCTTTGGTACTGCTCCCACTGCCTTGTCCACTCCTCCACCCTTCATGTGATCTTTCTGCTTCAAGAGTCTTGTGGTTAAGAAGTCACCTCTTTGAAGCATTTCAACTTTTTTAAGTGACTAAATGCAGATATGCAAAAGGAAAACCAACTGCAAGTTTAGTTCATGGCCAGGGATTCTTGTGTCATTTATCTTGTTTCAACTTACAGAAGAAATATACACCAGCTACATAACAAAATTTCCCATCTTTAGTTTGTCATATCATTGTCACTGAAGAAAAATGTTGAAAGTAAAAGTTCAATATGGCACTTATGTTTTCCCGGTGAAGTGAGTGCTGAACAAAGAAATTCCAAAGTCAGTCATTCCTCTGGCTTATAAATTAAAAACCTATCTTCCATTCTGTCCAAACACATGTTGGAGGGTTTAGATTGTTTAAGGAAAAAATAAATCTCTATATGACACTTGCTTAGACAAATGTTAATACATAAAGACTATGTGCTGTGTGTGTATATATCCATGTATGTATGTATGTATTTATGAAAGACAGAGAGGGGTACATGTACATTTCTACACACACACAACACAGAAAAGATACCACTTAACTAACCAAATCCATACAGCTCTATATTCTAAAAGAATATAGAACATAAGAAACTCACTGTTGTAATTTACGATTTATTCAGATTACCTACCGAGTGTTGTAAATCAAGCTCTTCACACTGCAGCACACTATAATTATGATCATACTTCTCACCAAAAACAGTCACATTTGCATATAGTCCACTGTTTGTTTCACAAATAAATCTTTATCTGGAAATAAATTTAAAATGCAAAATATTTGTGTCATGTTATAAGTTATCTGAATATTATTCCAAATAAAATAGAAAACAACTAAAAAAAAAAATCAATGACCAAAAACACTTTATTTCCCTATAGATCTCTTTTTTTCTTGTACTGAAACCTAAATGCAGAGTGTAGGACAAATTTTCTTAGCTTCCTTTTCAAAACCATTCAATTAAGGTGAACCCATCATAGGTGGTGTGATAACATTAGGTTATCCAGGGTAACAATTGAAAGTTGAAGCTTTCCTTCATGCTTGGCACTTTCCAAATACTAGCTTATTTAACATTCACAACCTTACAAGTAAGGACTCAGTATTCCTAATCTGCTATAAAGAGGCTGAGTGCTCCAAATGGAAGTGACTTGCCCAAGTCCACTCACCAGGTAGCTGCCAGAGCCAGGACTGGTCACTTTACATTTTACTTCCCCATGACACATGGTTCTTACAAATTATATGTTTGTTTAAGTTTTGCATTGTCTAGCATATTTACCATTTTATCTTAACTGTATAAATTGACAATTTAAATTGCTATGTCTAGACATGCATGGATTTTTAGCTCTTTTTATAATTAAGTAGTTTCTTCAACACAAAAATGTTATCAGAAATATATTTTCCACTATCACAGAGCTTTTAAGGTCTACATATCAGCAGCCATATGAAAGTGATCTATAAAGTGCAAGGAGATATACAGTGCATTAGTCAGCCTTCCATCACTGTAAAAACAAACAAACAAACCAACACCTGGGATAAACAACTTAAAAGTAGGAAAGATTTATTTTTTAGTTCACAGTTTCAGAGGTTTAGTTCTCGGTCAGTTTGCCCTATCAATTTGGGCCTGTGATGAGGCAGAAAGAACACCATGGTGGGGAGGAAATGGTAAAGAAAAGTCACTGGCCTCATGTTGGTCAAGAAGCAGAGAAAGAGAGAGGTGGGCAGGGCCCCAATATCCCTGTCAAGGGCATAACTCAAATGAGCTACATCTTCCAACTAAGCCTAAAGTTTCCATCACTTTTGACAGCATCGTTAGCAGGGATCAAACCTTCAACACATGAGCTTCTGGGAGGCATTTAAAATCTAAATCAAAATAAACATATATTTAGTAATGTAAACTAGTGTCTTGTTCTATTCAGCTTACAGCTTGTTAACTGATTAATCTCCTCCATCTCACCTCCATGCCATTCTTGGGCCCTTATAATTAAATTTAGAACATCTCAGAATTCTCTTACCACTTTATACTCCATACTTTATTAGGAGATGAATAAAAAAATTCAATGCAAATAACAACATTCAATGTGGGCTCATAATAAGGCACATGGCACATATTTGCTCAAAAATGATTCAAAATAGTATTTTAAGATTTTGTATTTTTTGGTATTATAATAAAATATTACCTGTAATATCAACAGGTTTTAGTAGAAGTTTCATTCAACATATTAATTTATATAAATGACTATACAAGTACTTACGCAACTGTTACATAATAGAATTTCTAGTGACTACTTACTCTAATATTTTCAAGCTGAAATAAGAAAGTAAGTGGAGGCTAGCAAAATCCGCTCAATACAGTTGAGGTTAAATGGTGCCCTTGTAAAAGAAGTGGACAGCAATTATCACAGATTGATAAACAGTTGTGAGTTCAAATTAACTTTGGCGTATTTGCATAAATATTAGGTACTAGGCAAAAACCCACATAGCTTCATAAAGTGCAAATACACTCAAACCAATTTAAGTTTCTCCTGTGATAAACTGAAAGTCAGTGTAGATAAAGAAAAAACAATATATTTAATCTGCAAACTTCAGTGGTTGTTTTGATTCTACCTCAAAGAGCATTCATTTTTTAAAAAGACAGACAATTCAGGGAGTGAACAAGCTAATTCCCAGCTGTCTAAAGGGGGTTTTGCTATTTACATAATAATCTGACATATGTCCATCAATAGTTACCTGGAGGAATGAAACCAAGAGATATTAAATATAAACACATTTACAAATTTTTGAAAAATGGAATTAAAAATGAGATACTTAAGTATTCTTCCTATATTATTGAGATTACTTTATAAACGGGGTCCTTCCAGCATTCTCTTCTACTATTTACATACCAATAATATATCTACAGTTTTCCATGTTACTTATGTTATAAATCTTTTAAACTTTCATACTGCTGAAAAATAAAGTTCAATATTTCTTGGACATTTTAAATCTCTCTGTCCTTGCCATTGCTGTTCCCAAATCCATTGTGGCTGGCATAGTCTCTCTCTTTTATGAATTCTTACTAATCATGATACCTCTTAACTACAGTCTTTAAGACCTAATAATAACTTAGTAAATGATTTTAATAATATTATCAATTTTTGTCTGTCTGTATTGCTGGAACCTCAAGGTGAATATCTCTTTAGTAATCTATAGAACAGAATTTTTAAAAACTCAGGAAAGTAATAATAAAAATCTTCTATAAATTACCAAGAATTTTTATATGCTGACATATTTGTTTTAGGCATTTTTCGAAGAACACTTTCACTTGCTTACTTCAGTATCTAAAGAATAAATCATGAAATTTCATTTCTCAAATGCACCCACTTTCATAACAGATTGTGGACATATCATATTCATCATAGCTATGCCAACAACTTCAGTGAGAATGAAAAGAAAACAGGATTAGATTTATGTTTTATCACTTCAAACTCTATTAATGGTTGACAAGATGCTGAGGATGATTTTAACACTACACAAAGAACATTTAAAAGATTCTCACACTTTACTACCACAAGTTCAACAAAGAACAACAGTTTGCCATGCTGTTTCAGAACACAACAGAAACTTAGACAATATCTTTAAAATTAAGAACAGTACCATGAATGTGACTAGCACTGTAGGTCAGATTCTCTAGAAATTACACTCTGAACTGGAGATACACTTTGCAGGAGGGTTACCGGGAGACAACCCAAAAAGAAGTAAGGGAGGCGTAACCAAGCAGAGGCAAGATTGAACTGGAAACCAAGAACTAACAGAGATGGAGGAGATGAACAAATTAGGGTTATAATACAAAAGTATATGGAAATGTCACAATGAAACTCTCTGCATAGCTGTCATAAACAAACAAAAATGTCTTTTTTAAATTTTTTATAAAATGAAGGACAGGAAAGTAAAACAGGTCCTGTCTAGAGGTTTAGTATCAGTGGAAGATGGGAAGGCATAAGGAAAGGGTGAAGGAAGGTAAATATAGTAGAAATATTATGTACTCATTTATGAAAATGAAAAAAATGAAAACTGCTGAAACTATTCTAAGAATGGGGAGAGTGGGGATATAATGGAATGATGGAGGCGGTGAATTTAACTAAGATATATTGTAAGTACTTTTGTAAATGTCACAAAGTACCACCAGTACAATAATAATATAATAAAAAGAAAGAACAAACAGAGGTGTCAGCCCACTTCTCAGGTAGGCTGTAAGATGGCTAATCGGGGTGGTCCTGGAATAAGGTAAAGGAGAAGATCTTGGTATCCTAGTGTTGATCGATCACTCCTTGGAGGAAGAGAACCTTGGTCAGTTGCATAAACTTGAGCAAGGCAACTACTTTGCGTAGGGAAATTTATGCAGAGTAATTCAGCTATGAGCCTAAAGCAGCCACATTCTAGACAATTAGGGGAATGAAGCCTAAACAAGAGGAATCTGGACAATGTACACAACATCCCATAACTACTGATTTGTTTTAAGTCAGTAGAAGACAATGGCTTTGAAAATAAAGTGATGTAAAAATCGAAGGTCAAGATTCACTAACATTAATCTATTGTAGCAAAAGCCTTTTTAGCAGGTCTGTCTTTCAGAATGACTTCCTATTACTTCTAGGAAATTGATCTCTGTTCGTATTCTACCCAAATCAGAAATGATTAACGAGCAGTGAACAGTTGCAATGTGTCCAGCCTAGGTGATGTATTAGAGTATTCCAACCATTATCAACATATGTATACAGAGAGAGCTGGGATTGAAGGATTACAGTTGGTTTTGGAGAAAGCACAATGAAATCCCACTCAATTAGTTGTGATTCCCTGCAGTTCTGTACCACTAGGTGAGTGAGGAACCTGAGCCCAAAGTGGGTACCTCCATTTATACTATTTACCTTGCTGATCTCTGAACCAGCCTATGCAGCAATCTGGAAATTGCTGAACCTATTAACATTCAACATAATTGTGTACAGCCTTGGTGATATTTTTCATTACCCATAAATTTAGAAAATCCTTCATCACTCACAGATAAAACATATTTTGCCACTTTTTTCTTTAAAATGTTGCAGCTTTCACACTTATATCTTTAAACATCTACAATTTATCAGTTATGTGGTATGAATGAATATCAGGAGATCTTTATAGAAATGTCCAAGAAATTATCACAAAAACAGTTCTTAAATACTTCAAGCTCTTTCTTATACATATGATTCATCTATTTTATCAAGTTGGGTCTTTTATTTATATTAAGATTTGTTATGGGAATATCTCTTTTATTCTAATGCTTTGTCTGGCTACTCTTATACAAAATTTCCTCTTTATTTAGAGAATAGGAATATGTAATTTTTTACATGAATTATTTTTGGTTACCCGATTTTTCTAGCTGCCTAAAAAGGGCAAAAAGGTAAGATGTTCATACCAGTACCTTCACTGAACACATCTGATATGTATTCAATGGCAACCTGAGTTTCTACAGCCGAGTTTCTACAGCCCCCTTACAAACATTAGAAAATATAAATGAGGGTATCACATTGTTTTTCTAAGCATGATGTCTATCAGCCACTACAGGATAATAGTCTACCAATTTAAAATAATAACAATTGATGTATTTTTATGGCTCATCAATAACAAATTTACTGTGGGCAAATTAGAATAAAGGCTTAAAACCCCAATAGGCTTGTTTCTACAGACTTTCCTGGGGAAAATGTATTGTCAGCCAATCAAAGGTTGCACTGAATAGAATAAACAT